TCTTGACATCCCGAGGAATCCAGTCGGTAACAGCTCTAGTCCAGCGGTCGTCTTTAAATCTCATTACGTGACCAGCCCATCTGATTTTCGACACCTTGGCAAATGAGACAGCGTCCCTGATCCTTGATCGTCGACGGATGTCAGAACTCCGGATTCGTTCTCTCATTTGAGTGAAACGTGATATTCCAAGCATAGCTCTTTCTATTCTTCTTTGGGAGACCTGAATGGCATTCTCATCTTGTTTGCGTAGGGCCCAGGTCTCTGAGGCATATGTTAATGCAGGAAGAACAGTGGAATCAAAGAGATGTGCCCGGAGCCGGAGGTTCTTCGTCCTCTTAGCTATTTCTTCGACATTCTTGAAGGCGTTCCAAGCCGCTCTCTTCCTCCTGCGCAGCTCGGGTGCCAGGTCATTTGTCATGTTGACCTCTCGACCTAGGTACACATAGCTGTTGCATTCGGAGATGGTCGTTCCATTGAGAGCGAATGGGGCGTCAGGAACGAGGCTGTTTCTCATAAACATTGTCTTCGTAAGATTCAGCTGTAGTCCTACCTTTCCACACTCACGGTCAAAGTCGGCCAGCATTTGTGCCGCTTGGCTGATGTTTGGTGTTATTAAAACAATGTCATCAGCAAAGCGGAGGTGGTGTAGTTGCCGACCATCTATCTTCACTCCCATTCCGTCCCACTACACTACTTCCAGTACCCAGCCGTCGCCACACTCCAGGATGCTTTCCGGACCCGCGCGGCCACTTGCGGCCATGAGACACATCATAAGACACTAAATACCCGTCTTCTGGAATTGTCGTACCATATTTGATAGGGTTTAAATATGGTAACACCTACAAGGGTGATTAGAGGTCACCCCAAAAGCCTCTATACCTCTCGGAAAGACTGGCAAGCTACCGAGAGTATTCCGCCCGCACGGAAGAGCCTGGCAAGCTATCCGCTGTGTATTCGATATGCCAAAACCAGTAACTACAACTGGTCTCATTCACCTGACCCTGAAGGCTTCACCGACATGGCAGCACTGAGAAGGATGAGAAAGGAGAGGCCGACAAAATCTCAAGGCCAACCTAGGCTGCCACAACGAAGGAAGACAAAAATGATCGTCTGTACTTTCAATGCACGTACGCTAGCATCAGATGCATCCATCGAGGACCTGATGGTACAAGCGCGAATGATCAAGTACGACATCATTGGTCTGACCGAGACAAGAAGGCACGAATCTCACCATGCCGTTTTCGACACTGGAGAAGAATTGTTCCTCGGAACATGCGATAAAAGAGGTGTCGGAGGCGTCGGTGTCCTTGTCAACACAAACTTGGCCAAGAGCATTGATTCATTCGAATGCCTAACAACCCGAATCGGACGTTTACATTTGAATAGATGTGGCTCACTGCCTGCAGTTTCTATCTTCGTTGTCTACGCACCAACATCTCATTATGATGAAAGAGAAATCGAGAAGTTCTACATGGAGCTAGAGAAGTTCTATAAAGAAGACCACACCTTCTACAAGATCATTGTGGGTGATTTTAATGCCAAGATAGGACCGAGAAGATCAGCTGAAGAACTTCACATCGGGACCCATGGCCTAGAATGGAACGAACAGGGTGAGAGACTGTCTGAGTTCATCATGTCGACCAAGACCATTCATGGTAACTCACAGTTCCAGAAGGCAGAATCTAAACGATGGACATGGGAGTCTCCCGGTGGACGATTCCACAACGAAATAGACCACATCATATTCAATCGACGGTTTTGCCTGACTGATGTCGCTGTTGTCCCAAAATTTCGAACGGGATCGGACCACCGTCTCCTTCGTGCAAAATTCTACTTCACAGAGCGGGGAGAAAGGGCTGCAAAGTTCAAAAAGAGAACTCCCAGAATGACCACCAACTGGGAACTCTTTGGTACTATTGCGGCAACATGGGAAGATGTCATTGTTGACAACATTGACGAGGAATACGATCAACTGGTTCAGCACCTCCATGAATGTGCGAGGAACGCCAAGAGAGAGATAGCCACAAAAAGTCGCCTATCTTCGAAAACTCTTGAGCTAATTCGCCAGCGTGGTTTGGCGCATGCCTCAGGCAACCGCAAGCTAACGTCCGAGCTTGCAAAGCAGTGCAGAGATGCGATCAAGGAAGACCTCAAAGAGAGAAGAGCAGGAGTACTGGTAGATGCGACAGAAGCCGGGAAAAGTATTCGTAACGCCCGCCTGTCTTTCGCCAACTATAAGACCAAGATGACTGCCCTCCGACGTCCTGATGGATCCATCACATCCTCCAGAATGGCAATGGAGAAGATTATCCATGACTTCTACTCAAATCTCTTCAATAGTCATGTCCACTTGCCGACATACCAAATTCCACAGGATGGATATGTCGTTCCCAACGTTCTCCCTTCCGAAATCCGACACGCCATTTCGTCGGTAAAGAAGCAAACAGCACCCGGCCCAGACAAGGTCAGACCTGAACACCTGAAGAACCTGCCGTCAGTACTCATCAATACACTGGCTCGGCTCTTCACTCGCTACCTGTCTGAATGCAAGATTCCGTCTCAATGGAAAACCAGCAGGACCGTACTACTGTTCAAGAAGGGAGACATCCATGACATTGGCAACTATCGCCCGATCTGCCTATTGTCTGTCATCTACAAGTTGTTCACTCGAGTCATCCTGAATAGGATTGGCAGAACACTAGATGAAGGACAACCATGTGAGCAAGCAGGGTTCTGCAAAGGATTCAGCACCATCGACCATATCCACACGATAACCAAGCTCATTGAGGTTTCTCGGGAGTTCAAGATGCCGCTCTGCTTAACATTCATTGATTTAAAGAAGGCCTTTGATTCTGTTGAGACGGAAGCGGTCATTGAAGCCCTAGCCAATCAGGGCATTCAAGCCCAATACATCAGGATCCTCCGTGAGCTGTATTGCGGATTCACTACCAGGATCTCACCATTCTACAAAGAAGTGATTGTTGATGTCAAGAGAGGGGTGCGGCAGGGTGATACCATTTCACCGAAACACTTCAGTGCCACCCTCGAGAACATCATGCGACGACTGGAATGGGAACAGGAAATATAATTTTTGAAGAAGGGAGACCCTCCTGAAGAGACACGTCTCAATCCAGTCAAGAGTCAGGGTTCCCACTGACTAGACCGTAAAGGCACAGCACCTCGGGGCAAGCTCTGATGATGGACACCTAGTACCACAGGCTGAGCTCGGTGCCCACAACTAGAGCTGGTTGCTGTGTGAATGCTGAAAAGCACAAAATGTGTTTGGGACCCAGAAAACAGGAGGCAAAAACAAAACCTGGAAATACCTCTCTTACTGACAGGGGAAGTAAAACTGCTTGATCAGAAGTTAATCACTGAGTCAGCCCCTGTCCCCTGGGGAAATGCAGCTGAGGTCTGTTTCAAAGTCCATACTCATGGCAATGCCAACAGACATTCCTCTTTGTGTCCAGGAAACTCAAGTTTACAAAGATCCTTGAGCTGGATAAACTTACTTTAATCTTGTGTGAAATGGAATCTAGGAATCACGTTTCCCTTAAAAAGTGAACCTTGGGGCTGGAGTGATAGCATAGCAGGTAGGGAGTTTGCCTAGCATGGGGCCAACCAAGGTTCGAATTCAAGCATCCAATATGGTCCCCTGAGCACTGCCAGGAGTAATTCCTGAGAGTATAGCCAGGAGTATCCCCAGAGCATCGCTGGGTGTGACCCCAAAAAGGAAAAATAAATAAATAAAAAGTGAATCTCCCTAACATTTGCTTTGGAAGGAGACAGGAAACCAAACTTCCCTTTCCTCAGTGTGGAGAGATCATCCCCACCTATCATTGCCCCCCCCCCCCCCCGCCTCCCGTAAATGCATAGTTTCTCTTAAGGGCTCAATGGCTCTATCCCAATTCATGGGAAAATATGGGCCACTAATCACCCTTCTTGTTCCCACCTGAAACACTTTGAAAGAGGTCATCCAAAAAAAGGAGACTTTAAATTATTTCAGACACATATGTGAAAACTATTGGAACTCAGACAGGAAATTTTATATACTAGTCTAAAAACTGAGGCATTGAAAGAGCTATGCTTGGAGTATCATGTTTCACTCGAATGAGAGACAGAATCTGGAGTTCTGACCTCCATTGACGATCAAGAATCCGGGATGCTGTCTCATTTGCCAAGGCGTCAAAAATCAGAAGGGCTGGACACGTAATGAGATTTGGAGATGATCGCTGGACTAGAGCCAGGGTACCGACTGAATTCCACGGGACTTCTTTGTTAAGACCCTAAAACGATCGGTTTGAGGCTCTTTGTGTTCCTAGAAGGAACAGACGCCATTGGGCTACACTAGCACACGACAGGGAGAAATGGAGACGTTACTGGCACCCGCTCGAGCAAATCGACGATTAATAACGGGAAGTCAAGTGATCAAGTCTAAGAAAGAAACAACAGAAAACACAAGCAACTAAACACAATAATAACCGCCTTTATTGGAAAAGTGGTACACAAAGGAGAAGCCTATCTGCCATTCCAGGCAGTAGGGAAGGGCATGTGCTTCAAGCCCAGTGTAATCAGGACAATGTATTTCGACAGTGAGGAATTTCTTGAAAAGTCACCGGGTTTTTGTGAGGGTGAGTGGTGAGCACGAATGGTTGAGCCACAGAAAAATAAATTTATATAATCCTGCATGGGACATAACAAAAGAAGCCTTAAGACCATCTCCAGGTAGTACATCTGAACACTCATGGCTGGGATCTACCACCCAACCATACCACCATCCCACCGAAAAAAAAAAAAAGAAAGAAAGAAAGAAAGAAACAAGAGGCAATATACAGAGAAAAACAATGCTCTTCTTCCCTGAAAGTGAAATAAATACTTTTCAAAATATTGTGCCAGATTCGATGACAAGTGAATTAAATAAAACACAGTGATCACTGAATAATCCACAACCTACTCTATAAATTAATTACAGGAAGAAAGCAGAAATAGGGATCAACCCCCTAAGCCCTGCCCGCGCCCACAGAGAGAGGGGCACAGTCGCGCCCCACGCGGAAGTACGGCTTGAGCTCTTGAGCAAAGGGCTCGTTGAACAAGTGCAGGTGAGACCTGTCGGTGGCGTTGTAGAAGGAAAGCTGGCCCAGGTCCCAGTCCAGGTAAATGCCGATGGCCGCGGGCTGGTCCCTGAGAGCCAGAGGCACGGCCCCCGCACTCATGCTCACGGCCAGGTAGTCGCCGTCCTGCAACTGCAGCGTCCAGCATCTCTTGGGAGCCGCCAGGGGACGCGAGGCCTGGGCCGAAGGGGCCATGCTGCACACGCCCACGGCCCACTCGGGCTTGGCGCCCACCTGCACCTCCCAGTAGTGGCGGCCAGACGCGAAGCCCTCCCGGCCCAGGACCACCAGCTCGGCAGCATCTTCCAATGGCCCGGGATTTCCAGAACGGTTGAGATTTTTCCTCACCCAGGTCACAGACTTTTTATCTTTAGACACACGCAGGCTGGGATGGGCTGTGTGGGGGTCCAGGCTGATGCTCTCTCGGAATCTCCGGATGATGCTGCTGAGCGCCGAGCACAGAGGAGGGAGGCTGTAGGCCGCTGGCCTGAAGTGCAGGGGCTGCACGGCCAGGGGCTGCAGGCCTGCCCAGCGCTGCTGCAGGCCCCTCACCCCCCTCAGCACCATCTCCTCGGACATCACGCTCCGCTCCGCCACCTCCCGTCTGAGGTCTTTCAGCGCCCAGATGTGGTCTGAGTAGGCCTCCAGGTTGGCCCTGAGCTGCTGCTGCAGGCGTTTCTCCTCTTCTGCCAGCCTGCCGAGAGCTGCCTCTTGCTCATGCTCCACACACTGGGTGAGCAGCTCAAATTCTGAGGCCAGCTGACTCTTAAGCATTCTGGCCTCCTCGATCAGTTGAAGGATCTTTCTATCATGGGTGACTTTTAGCTTCTGCACCTTTGCCAACCGCTTCTTCAGGGACTTGATGTACCTGTTGAGCCTCTGTCTGTGATAGGATGCGGACTCTTCCACAGAACTCTGAAGATCAAGACACCGGGCAAACAGGGGACATAGCAGCTCCTGATCATCCTCGCAGAAGAGGCTCATCCCCTGCCTGTGGTCTTCATGCCTGTGCTCCTTTCCCCATGCCATCTTGCTGCTCCTGGAGCTGTACAGGCGTTTGGCCAGGCCCACCAGCCTGCCCAGCTGGGCGTTGGCACTGACACGCATCTCCTGGCGGACCAGCTGGCACACGGGACAAGGGAATGTGTCCTGCAGGTCCTTCCATGACATGCGGATGCAGGAGTCGCAGAAGTTGTGGCCGCAGTCGATGGTGACAGGGTCCTTGAGGTAGTCCAGGCAGACGGGACAGAAGCATTTTGGCTGGATTTTGGCCAGGACTGCTGACACCTCTTCCATCCTCAGGTGTGGGAAGGGCAGGATTGGGTTAGCGTGGGCACTGTCTGAATTTGGGACTCCTCAGGCGGTTTCCTGTCAAAACAAGTTACACCTTCAGAACTGTATCGTATACCCAATGTCTTTCTCAGTGAGGGTCCCTCTCTGATGACTTATCATACTGCCTGATCCACTGTTGTCCAGTGACTCAAGTCACAAGGAGCAGCCCGTCATGAATAAATGTGGATATGAAGGGAAGTCGAGCTCAACAACTCTCTTGGCCAGCAATATCTACAGCTTTAAAAGAGTTGATGTGTTCTGAGGAAGATAAGACCCTCCCAAGGAAGTAGGAGAACGAGCTTTCCAGTGCCCTGTTCACCGTCTTCAAGGCAACCAGATTCTCCTTCTCCATAATCACTCATAGATAGCCAACTCTGTAAGGCTTCATGGAATAGAACCCTGATTATTTAGTGACAATCCCCAGCTGTGACCAAAGTCCTGGAGATGGGGAAACGACTCAACGTAATCCAGGAAGATAGGTGCTAAGGTATAGTACTTCATATAAGGAAACAGATATCAGATCCTCTATGCAATATTTCCTCCAATAAGAGTAGTGTTCTCCATAGAACAGACACTAGGAATGGAAATTATGCTCTCCCTCTGCCTCCCGTAAACCTACAGTCCTTATTGGTTATTACCTGGATCGGTGACCCTGGTCTGGTTGAGTCCTTGGTGCTGGTGTTGAGCTGACTCTCCCCGAAGGACTGGAAGTCGGCCTGCCGCTCTGTCCTGTGATTGACCTGTTTTTATATTCTGTTGGATGGGTGGGGCTTTAAAGAAAAGACCAGTCAGAAGGAAGGGAGCTGAATTAACCCTGATAGGATACTCTGAAAGTAGGGATTAAGTAGTATTTAGCCAGGGGGCAAGAGGTAGGCGACTAATACTGAAAATCCAATCTCCACAGTGAATTTCCTACCTTTATCCTTCTCATATTTCTTTCTTTCTGTCTTTCTTTTTTTTTCTTTTTTGGGTCACACCTGGGTGTTTCACAGGGATTACTCCTGTCTCTGCACTCAGGAATTACCCCTGGCGGTGCTCTGTGCTCGGGGGACCATATGGAACGCTGGAAATCGAACCCGGGTTGGTGGCCCTGCAAGGCAAACGCCCAAAAAGGCAAAACAAACAAACAAACAAACAAACAAAAAACGCCCTACCAGCTGTGCTATCACTCCAGCCCCACCTTCTCACGTTTCTTAATCCCATCCACTGGAAGCAGTGGTTTTATAACCTGTTAAAAAGCTTTTCTTCCAAGACGTGGAGCGATAGGACAGTGGGTAGGGCATTTGCCTTGCACGGGGCATACCCAAGTTCGATTCCCAGCATCCCATATGGTCCCCCGAGCACCGCCAGGAGTAATTCCTGAGTGCAGAGCCAGAAGTAACCCCTGTGTAACACCCAGGTGTGACCCAAAAAAGAAAAAAAAACATGAGAAGGCATATATTGTTCCAACAATGCCTTCACCAGTGCTCACTACCTTCCCCCCATCTCTCTGATTTTCCTCCCACCCCCAGCCTGCTTCTGTGGCAGGTACATTTCCCTCCCTCCATTGAAGGACAAAAATTTATTCATCTGTGTATGGTGTGGTTGCATGGATATCAAAGATTTTGGGTGGAAGTGATAGCATCCATTTTTGTGTTCAAATTTATTAAGAAGGCATTAGTGTTAATATGTTACAGTTGCTTAACTGAAGCAAAATATTAAAGTGATCGCTTTACCCTGGTTTACCACCAAAAGGAAAACTGAAGGTCAGATGCAGCAGTCTTTTGAAAAATAATACAAAGTCTTTTAAAAAAACACACAAAAGGTCACACAGAAAGAACCCAGGGGAGAGCGTGGAGTACAAGGACTAATGCCATGCTAGAGAACCTCTCTTTATTTTGCCCCATTTCATGTTTTCCTCCTCATGGCAGTAAAACCTACGATTGTCCCTTCATCGTGAGGACTGGACTTCCGTTTCTAGGGGAGATCTTTCTTCTGGGGCTGTTGAATGATTATCAACACCTGCTACTCCTTAAACACCCCATAAGTAAGTGGGGGAGGGCGCTTCTCCTCCTTTGGGCTCCTATGAAATTGGCCTCTTCCCTGTCACATTTCTTGCCTTCCTGAAGACCAGAGGAGCTGCAGATAGGGGACTCTGGTTTGGGGGCTTGTCTAGAACAACTGGAGAGGAGAATAGGGACTGACTGTGGCTTGTGGGGTGGGGGGCGCTTACCAGTTCATGCAAGACGCGGGATGGGAAGCTTACAGAATCTGAGGTCAGGCCTACTAGGGCAGGAGATGAAATGAGTACATCCAGGTGTAATTCCTGAGCACAGAGCCAGGAGTAACTCCTGTGCATTGCCAGGTGTAACACAAAAAGGAAAAAAAAACACCACTCCAGCCTTATCTTCCTAATAAAAATACTGAATGTCCTGAACACAATTACCTCTTAGTACCTGTATTATAAATCATAATTCACGAAAGGAGAGAGAGTAAAAAGAAATGCTGAGCTACCTCTCCATCCTCACATTTTGTTTTCTTCCTATTGAGAGTTAATCTTTATATTTTAATACCATAGAGCATTTAGAAAAGTGTCTGCCTCAGCACTGTCTGATGCACCAAACAAAAATGAACAATGACCAAACCTTTTCCTTACTAGTCTCTTCCAATTCTGCACCACCAGTGTCAGAAGCTCCAGCTACCTGTCCCTATGGTCAGACACTGAAGTGGTCACCGTAAAGGTAAGTTGTACTGGTGGCCGTGGGCACTTCTGGCATTCCCAGCTCCTCCACTTCTCTTGTGTGCCCAGAGTTCACTGAAACATCATTTCCCAAAGTTCTCCTCGTTGTTCCCTTTCCCCACAATATCAGGGAATAGAAACTTGATATATAAATTATTTTATAGTTTATTGATCAGTTTTCTCTTTATTAAACTTTAGTTTGAATTATTATAGATAAATCTAGAATCTACAATAGAGATATTTATAGTTCCATTGTCTTGACATATATACAAAACTGGTAACCATTTGAGATGATCATCACAAGGAAAGAAAGCTATGACAGCCTTCAAAAAAATCAATGAAATAATTCCAGTAGAGTGGTGTTCAATCTCTTCAGTCTTATCTGAAACTAATGCTAGAAACTGTAGGGAAAACCACCATTATGAAAGGAATTTTTGTATTCATGAAAGTAAACACAATGGTTTTGTAATTTAATGCAAAGATATCTCTGTAATTTGCATCTTTATATCTATACAGCATCAACTTCTTGATTATCTTCACAAATAAAGTACACAAGACATAAAGGATGTCACATATGTAATGCTTAAAACACTCAGATGCATTTTATTTTATTTTATTTTGCTTTTTCTGTCACACCCAGCGATGCTCAGGGGCTATTCCTGGCTCTGAACTCAGGAATTACTCCTGGTGTTGCTCGGGGGACCGTGTGGGATGCTAGGGATTGAACGTGGGTTGGCTGAGTGCAATGCAAATGCCCCCTCCCTCCCAGTGTGCTAGGAGGGCCCTCCAGGTCCTCCGATGCATTTTTCATCTATATTTTGTCTCTGAATTTAGAAGACAAAGAACATTAGGCTAATTCTGCAAAGAGTTTCTATCACTAAAACTAATGCCAGCATCAAATCCCATTATCAACCTGAGATTGTAAGCTCCTGAATATTTCTGAAAATGGCACAACACTTATGTATCACCAGTCTATCAGGCAGAATCTAACATCTCATTGTCTTTGATATTCTAAGACATTTTCAGAAAACATGACGATATTTTTTTCTGGAGACAGATTTTTTTTTCCTCCTCATTTTCACTACATTCTTCTGTCTAGTTCTTGTGTTCTTTGGATGACTCCATTGTTGTGAAATCACTCCTAGATCTCTTGCAAGCAACTATATGCACTTAGTCCCATTCATTGAGGTATCTCTTCAATCCATGAAATAACTATTTAAAGTAACGTGGGTTTCAGACTTAAAGAGAGGCATGAATACTTTAGAAAGACAGCCCTGTGGTCTGGCACTAGCACTCACCATTCCTACAGAGTTCGCACAGCAGCCTGCCCTAAGGTTTAGAATGGGTCCAGGTCCCTCCCAGCCGTTCACCAGTATGAAATCATCTGTCTCTCTTATTTTTTTTTTTTTTTTTGCTTTTTGGGTCACACCCAACACATGCTCAGGGGTTACTCCTGGTTCTGCACTCAGCACTCAGGAATTACTCCTGGCGGTGCTTGGGGAACCATATGGGATGCTGGGAATCGAACCCGGGTCGGCCAAGTGCAAGGCAAACGCCCTACCCGCTGTGCTATTGCTCCAGCCCCAAATCATCTATCTCTTTATCCTGCATCAAACCCACCATAGACTGCTCAGTGTCAGTTCTACATTCACTTTCTCAGTTTGACATCTATCAAACATCATGATATTTGAATGCAGTTTTAAATTTTTTTTAATTGAATCACTATGAGATGCAGTTACAAAGTTGTTCATGATTGATTGGGTTTCAGTCATACAAAGTTCCAACATCTCTCCCTTCACCATTGTACATTTCCCACCAGCAAGGTCCCAGTTTCCCTCCTGCCCCTCCCTGCCCTGCCTCTATGTTGTTTTTTCTATAATTTCAAACAAACTCCCTCTAACATTCATCTCCTTCCTTAGGTCTTTCTCTTCTTTCTTATCTTAGACATTCCATCACCATAATCTCTCTAAATTCAGACTTTCTCCCCTCTGTGCACATCTGTGGGCTGGAGCGATAGCATGGTGGGCAGGGCGTTTGCCTTGCACGCAGCCAACATGACCAACCCAAGTTTGATTCCTCCGCCACTCTTGGAGATCCCGGCAAGCTACCTGTGATGTATTCAATATGCCAAACACAGTAACAAGTGTCACAATGTTACTGGGCCCGCTGGAGCAAATTCATGAACAATGGGAGAACAGTGACAGTGACATTTTGAAGGGGCGGAGGAATTGAAGGTGGAGGAATC